TTTTTTTTGCATTTGAAAGACATGCCCAAACTCACTGTCATCAATTTGCTTCTATTTTTCTCTGGTAGTTAAGCCACCTACTGACTTGGGAAAGAGGCAAAATATCTAAAACACTGCATGAACAAGTGATGGATTTTTTCTCGACCATCAGTGTTTGAGAAGTTGACGACATTTTTCTGATAACATCTGTAGTACAATATTCTTCATCTTTCTTTTTTGGAGAGGTTTATCTTCAACAATTTGTTTTAAAAGAATGAATACTTTTTCCATACCTTATACGTTACCAAACAGAAAGACGTTATAGCGCTTATTATCAGCCACAAATCTTTTTCAGACTCATAAGAATATTTTACGCTGTTCTTTGTCATCATATTCAGATATCTGAATCTCCTCTGTCTAAAGTGCTTCTTTAAAAAAATTTCATTCTCAAGGCCTACCCAAGGTTTCTGTCTCTGTTTTGCAAATATGTTAAACAGTGGTAATCTGAAGGGAGAACGTATTGAGCAGATGAATAATTACGGATTTTTTAAATTTGAATATCATAGCATCCTATTTCTTCTAGAACTTCAATCTGGTTTTCATTAATGAATCTTGCTGTCCGTTTCTTCGTAAAATATCCTCTGTGTTTGAAATAATATGGGCGTAAATGATAATACTTTTGTTTCTCTCTGATTTTCTCTTAACAATTGTCATAATGCGAAAGCTAATTTGTGTACACTTTGTGCTTGGCACATTCGCTTTTTCATAATCACGACAAATTGTAATTGAATACAGCCGTAGCACATAAAGGAAAAAGTCGTCTGTATTTACTGAACACAGTGCGACTCTCCTGTATTGCTTATTTTTTTATACAAAATAGATTTTATGGTATATAAACTTTTCAACATTCTTCTTTAAGCAATTATCTTTCTTAGAGGTTTACTTTTGACCTTTTTATGCCTCGTTAGTTGATCATTCGCAAAGTTGTCCTGCTACTATTATCGTGCCATAACTGCGCCTAGTAGTCGGTCACAGTAGTATGATGTTGGTGTTTTCGACACCCTTGTTGGTTTGTTTAGCCTGTTTATTACACACTTTCGTGCGTAATCGATTACCTTATCACACATCATTCAATTCTTCCCCGCGTTACTTTGCTGCAGCCTCTGTGTGTCTGTGATTCTTAATTTACCAGTTCCGATTTATCTCACTATATTTCAGGTCGTGCTGGCAAACATGGCAAGGCCATTACGTTCCTCACTCCGGATGACAGTGCTGTCTTCTACGACTTGAAGCAATGCCTGCTTGAATCACCTGTGTCTACTTGTCCCATAGAGTTAGCGAATCACCCCGAAGCCCAGCAAAAGCCCGGCACGTTCACAGCAAAAAAACGCCAGGATGAAACGCTTTTCAAGTGAAAATTGAAACTGAGCGTTAGGCTTCGCTCGCCATTTCTTCAAGGCTGATCGTGGCCAAAAATACGTATAGCCGCCGCGGTTTCCAAACAGGTTCTTCCACCTATAGATGTAGTTTAATGGCAAGGGGTCTTTTTCTTTTTTTCAATATTATAAAGGACAACATGTCTCCAAAAAACGTGTAGCTTTTTGAATTTTGGAAAAAATTCATATTCAGCTATTCTGTTGTAAATTTGAAAGATGAGCAGACTCATTTTCCTGTTTATTTTACGTGACTTCAAGTATGAGCGGATATGCCTCCATCATAATGTTCCCTCATT